CGGTGTGGAGATGAACCGCAGACGCGGGCAAAATTGCCCAAAACTCTCGAGGTATCCACCGCAGCCAATCGCCCCCCGCTGACGGAAGTCGCGAATTTCCCATCGACAGGACTATTTGAACCGATCGCCCTGGATCGCCGAAACGGCGGGATTGTGCCTTTCAACACTTTCGTGAGAAGACGACGTCCATCAGCAGAGCCGAGATCTGCTGCGATAATATGAGCGACTGCTAAAGTGGCAACTCGGATCTAGTTCTTTTTCGACATTTTTGAACGCGATAATTCCATTAGAAACCAGATTCCCATGTCCTATAAAAAGTAACGCTTCCATATGAAGTGTGTCATGTGAAAGTGTATCACGGCGTGTCCAACTAATAGACTATCGATCGTAACTATCTTTGTCGCAGCTTCAGTCGAGCTTATACTAATATGTGTTTTAGTTTATACGGTGATCTACAATTAGAGTCCCGTTGAAGGGCAACACCACCTACACGAATAAAACAGTCTTCCATTAAGCGCATCAAAACAGCGGCGTTTTTTCTGCTAAGATATCGAAGCTCCAAGCGGGCGTGTGTGATACCCAAATACACGGCGCGAATGTTTCACGGGGAAGAAATTCAATTACCGCAGAACAAATAATCTCTCGTTATAAATATACCACGTGAAATCGAGGGATATTATTTATTCAGTCTCTCTCTACACAGAAACATTCATTTCTCCCCGCGCAGACGGCCAGGCTCTCGCGAGTTGGGTCGCGAATTCGGTCAACAACTACGCGAGAATAATAACATTTTTCATCAGTATCAAAATGCGTGCGTGCGTGAAGTAATTTATGAGAGAAATAAATTTCCCGAAAAGCGTCTCGTTACATGCATGGCATCGTCAGACGATTATTTACCGTTCGCGGATCCCGCCGCGCGCGCGAGCAAGTAATTTCACAATCCAGCAAATTCGCTAACTTTTGTGAAATATGTTTTATTCCCCAGCAAATGACTTTATATCCCGCAATACGCGTACGCATGTGTAATGTTGTTGCGCTGATATACAGTGGCGAGTGCGAACGTGACGGATAAGGCAAAAGTTGGGAAGAAGGTGGGGATACATGTACCATTCTCTTTTGTTTCAAACTAGAAAGCCAATATTAAATGTAATAATCGTATCAATAAATGTCAAAATATATCGTTGGCAAACATATCTTTCATAATGCGTATTCGTAATTATTAGGAAACAAGAAATAAACTGTTCAAAGAGCACAATTTTTTTAACATGGTGCAAAAAGTGTCGGCTCTTGGAAAATGAAATGGCAAGATAAAATAGACATGAAAATAAAGAAAAGCTCACTTTTTGTTATCGTAATATTGTTGATGTTAGAACCATCTTTTTTATTTCTTTGAATGGAAAAATCATAAGTAAAAAATGAAAATGAAAAGACTTTCTATGAGAATTAAGAAATTAAAGTTCATTAATTCAAATGATGTAGTAATTCTTTAAGCCTATGAATGGAAGTCGCAAATAAAAATATCATTTTCACATCCACCGCATAAGACGTGGTGATATGAAACATCTTGTTTCATGTTACCACTCATTGCTATCTTCCAAACAAACGAATTTCAAAATAGGGAAAAATATTTCTATAACCAACTCTGCGATTTTTTTTAAGTTTAATCTAATTACTGATCGACACTACAATTTTAAGTTTATCGGCTGAGACAGGTAAAATATTTTTAGATCTTACTTTCTAAAAAGTTCTAACAGAAAGAAAGCGAATCAGCTTCTTTTAATGGTATAAATAACATGGCAGTTACGCTAGACCTCTTTGATGGCCAATAAAGATCTTAATGATCATGTTTATTTCAGTTGCCAACAGATCACGACAGTTCTGTTTGAGAAATCAGCCTTGTTTCATATTACCACCCTATTTCATATCACCACCTTCTTCCTTACCAATGCTTAGACACTAATAACACTGGTAGCTAGTTCTGGACATTGTTTCAGAACATAAAACATTTCTTGGGATTTAATTGAGATTCAGCCCAATTTTCCAAAATGAGATTATGAGTTCTGGCTAAAAATATATTTATATTTTAAACATGCGATTCTAAGTGAGGAAATACAAATTTCCCCAATATTCTTTCTAGTCTTCATTTTACATTTTAAAATTGAACAAAACATATCATGTACAAATATTTAAAAATATAAATATTTTAAAAATATTTCATTTTGTGGCTCTTTATTCTATTGAATATAGGAATTGATATTAAAGTAATATTTTTTGTTTGAAAAATATTACTTTAATAATATTATTTTAATATATTCGCCATAAAAATATATCTACATATTACCGACTGAAAAAAGTGCGAATTTTTATAATATTTCTGTTTCGATTTTAGAGAGAGAATCCATGTTTGAGACAGATTCCTAATTTGCAATAAAATAACCAATTTTGGGATAAATTTGAGCATTCCAGTTGGAATTTGCTGCATCTGGGAGAATTTTGAGAAATTTTTACGCGAGTTATTGTTTTGGGTTTTACAAACATTTCAACTTCCAACGTAGAATGTATACATTCAAAACATGTACATGTGTTCCATATTGCAAGCTTAAGTATTCGTATTTAAAAGTAAAAAAATAATACGAATGTTCACGCTACTGATGTTCAGGTATTTTTACTCTTCACCACGCGAGAAATAAGTGAATTTTTATGTCCGTCGACGCGCGAGGGAGAAGGCGATTGTTGTTGGGCAAGAGGAGGCTGGGGACATTTCCAAACGACAATGCCGACGTCCGCGTTACTTTTTCAAAAACGACACCGTGCCGACAGACCCGCCGCGAACTTTCGTTCACGTGCTCGCGCACGTACTCGCTGCGTTAACCTCATTGCTTCTGCGGTATAAAATACGAATGTCTCGCTGTCTCTGGAGAAAATGCTGGCCCATATCCGCGTCCTCCTTGCGCAACTACTGCTTCGCAAAACACCCCTCGTCCTCGTTCGCTTCCTCCTCTTTCTCCTCCTACTTCTCTTCCTCCTTCTCCTCCTCGTCGTCGTCGTCGTCGTCGTAGTCGCGTCACAATTTATAGAGATTAGCCCGCGCGGAGCGAGAACTTGCGAATCGTGCTGATCGGAACGGCTGCGGAACTTTTCCGTCGCGCTCACGCCTGCTGTTATTCCGGGACGACATGAAAAAGTCAGGCGAGAGACGCAGGAAGCGGCACCGCGAGACTGGAACGACAGCGGATGCGCGATAAGAATGTCTCTCCGGGGAAGGAGAGGCGGGGGTGCTACCGCGCGTCCCATCGTCGTCGTTCTCGTCCTTCACCTCCTCGCCTTCGTCCTCATCCTCGTCCTTCTCGTCGTCGACATCGTCGTCGTCGTCGGGTGAAAATGCGAGAGACAGGCTGAACAGATCGCGAAAATCGCGGGAGTGTTTCACGCCGCTTGCGCGCATCTCGCGGCATATTTGTATGCATTCGTAAATTTGCGTGACTGAAAGAATTTCGATGATTTCTTAAAAGTAGACAGAGGACGAGAGGAGAGGAGGCGGGGAAGGGGAGGGGAAGGGAGAGAGTGGGAGTCTTGAGTAGCACGAGCGAGCGCGCTTGTAAACTGAAAATATGTTAAAGCAACGCGAGCGCCGGGGATATTTTTCGCGCGTTTTCATATTTTCCGCGCTTCTCATATTTTATCCGCGATACTCCAGCAAACTGTGTTTTATTAGCTGTCAACGACATTACGCGTTTCCTTTCCATTTTTCCGCCCGATGCCTGTAACCGTACAAAGGATATACCGTACGAGAGATCGTCGATCGTTTATCAGACTGTCCCGATTGCTCTTACCACATATTCTGGTCACGATTGAATAATTAAAACTCTCTGGTCAGATTTCGATGGTATATTCGTATTCACGTCACGTGAGATTTCTGTTACAAGATCATTCAATAATTTTCACATATATATTCCCGCGAAGACCCGCGAACATTTCTTTTTTTCTTCTTTGGGCGCGACCGAAATGGAAATTTTCTGCTCGCACTGCTGACGATAAGATGGCTGATAATTAGGTTTTATAAAGTAGACGATTTTAGCAGAGTCTGTTAAATTAATGCGCAAAGTTGGAAACTTCCTCTGCCTCCCTCCCTCCCTTTCCTCTTTTCTCTCTTTCTCTGTCCGTGCGTTTGGCCGTGTATTAAAATACGTCAGGCGATGGAGCTAAATATTAATTAATACGCAAAAATTACATATATTTTGCGGAGCTACGGACCGAACCATAAAAGAACCGCGGATGTTCGATGCAAATTCATTAACATAGCGCATGAATTAATTATCACTAGAGAGAGGAATTCTCGCGAGTGAGATAAAAGCAATGGCACATTACCGATGCGAAATATTGCAATGTGTCACGGTCCGCCTATTATCGCGGATGACTAATTAACGAAGGATCGAGTAAATCAATGCGTTTCGCGCATCGATGTGCAACACGTGGGCGCCCCCTCTGTAGATGATCATGTTGCGTCAGGATGAGGACTAATTATCATCTCTCTCTCGTGTCGATGATACGTAGTCATAGCTGTCCTTGCTATTAATGTGATACGGCGATTTCAAAGGCAATGATACGTTCAAGTGCTGTTGCCATACGCACATGCCGCAATATTAATTATTCGAAACACGATTAAACGCAAAAGCATCATTGTTTCGAGAAACGCTGCTGCAAAGTATTCGTCGATATTTACTCGAATCGCGCACGGAGAAAATGCTATAGCAAAAATTATAGCAAAATTTCTGCAACTTTGGGACATGCAGAAATATAATTGAAATATACCTGCTATTTATTTAAAAATGTTATGCATGTGCTTGTCTTTTTATTACATAATTATTGAAATTACTTGAATAATTTTTATCATGTACCAGAGGTAGGCTGTTAAAAATTTAATGGATGTTTTAAAATTTTTAATATTTTTTTGTAGTAATTTATACTACAATCTCAGTGCAACCCAACTTTGCAAAAAACATTGTAAAAAGAAATATATATATATATATATATATAAAATTTTAACACACAATACAATACTATAATATTTTCTGCATGCAATTTTATCGCTTTTGCTTCTCATCATCGTATCGTTTATACTTTTATTTCTCAATTACATTTTAATGTCAGTCGTTTTTAATTTTATCCCATTACTATTGCATATATTATTATTATTAATATTATATTTATAATGATATTATCAATTTATCATTACTAATATCATATTAATTATTTTTATATCACCATCGTGCCTCTCGCATGCACGCGCGACATTATTTTATTCCATGTTACATCGAGAGGTAAAATAAATTTGTATTCAATGAATACTAATAATATATTTATTTAAATCTAAATTCTTCTATTTAAATAGAGTAAACAATTGCTTTCGTGGAAAGTTGAGATTTTAAGAAAATATATGCAGAAGAAAAATTTGCTTGAATTAACTAAATGTCTAGTGAGATATGAACAAACTAGAATTCCGGCTAAAATTACCAGAATGCTATTTAAGTTAAAAAGATTCGGATTAACTAAATATTTAAATTTCTGATTGACCAGACTTGCGATTGTTCAAATGGAACAATTGTAAGTTCTGCTTAAAGGAACGCTGTGTCAAAATTTTTACCGATTGAGTGCTGACTTTTTCCTGCAAAGTTTACTTTATATTGGCGCTGCACAGATTTAGTACTATTACACATTAAAAATTCGTGGGAGGAAATGAATTGGAGAATTACTTAATATGCTACAAAAATGATAAAAAAGCTGACATTTCGAGTGTAAATATTTGTCAGATGCTGTCAACTATACGACTAATACGAAAAAATCTGTAGCTTGTACATACTGAACGCAAGATTGTTTCACCCAAAAAAATTTCAAAGAATTGCTGTACTTTTACACCTCAATTTAAAAGTTTAAAAACATCGGAAAAGCTTACAAAAAGATTTCTATATATGCATGATTAAGTTTTCCACTAAATATGATCAAACAAAGCAACACACATTTACGTGAGGTCTATGTATACAAGAAATATGAAAAGACAACGCGTGATTGCGTTAGTAACAATTGTCTCTACGTAATCGACATTTTTGGAGTTCGACATTGACTCCAGCGTTCTCTTAACTAAAAATCAACTTCAACAGAATTCCGGTAACTTCAATCGGCATTTCTGGCTCGCTCATATTTTACCAGACATTTAGTTAATTCAACGAAATCTTTTTCCTATGTACGTTTTCTTACCGAAAAATATTTTATACCAGCATAAATAAATATGTTATTAATACCCACAGAAAGCGAATAAATATTGTCTATTTTTAAAATATTTTTTCCCTCAGTCTCATGTAACATTCAAATGTAAATGCAACCGTAATTACGACAAATCAGTTACGTTCAGAATGTTCTGACTTCTAATATAATTTTGCGAATTTCTTTTCGCCAGTAAATTACTACTAATGCGAAAAGATCGATCACAAATTGCTGCTCTCTAACTAAACGTAAACGGCCGACCGACGCGAATCTTTCGTCTTTCGTTGTGTGCGACTGGCTCTCTCGAGCCACTCGAGTGCTCTTTGAGAGAGCGATAGTGGAAACCGAGACAACAGATCTGTAACATCGATATATAGGATTTCGATGAGGTATTTCGTACCCTCTTCACTCCTTCCGAACCCGCCGGCCCTTTATCCGACGGCGCTTTCTCCACGTTCGTGCTATCCTTTCACCTCCTTTTTACTTATTTTATCAGGATGCCGAATACGGTATTAAATTCTTAAAGGATATATACCGGTACGGATTTACTTCTACGAGCCACCGCTTTTAATTCCGCGGTCGTCGGCTGCCGCGCTTTATTTTGAAGTTTATGGCCGGCGCCCTCTTAATACGACGAGACTCGTGAAACAAGTGGCGAATGTATAGGGGTAAAAATTCGCCAGGGATTCACCTGAACGAGCGCCGTTTTCGTCTCGATCGCGGGAATTAGTGCGATACACGCCGGGCAATAAACACCGATGCAGAGCACGGTGAAGGAAAATATGGATTAACCCTTTATTACGCCATACCTTTGAAAAAAAGTTACACTGAAAGGAAAAATGTCTGAGAAATAATATTTACTTGGACGATACTAACACAGCATATTTATTTATATATACAAAATATACAAAATATTATATATATAAAATATTTTTTACACAAGAAAATGTATATTTTTTTTAAACTTAAAAAACATTAGTTTTTCATAGAATAGTTATTTATTCTATTCAAATAAGAGAATTTAAATTTAAGTAAATTAATGCTGTGTTAGAGTACTGTCAAGGAAATATTTACTAATTTTTAAATACGCCTCTCAGTATATAAATATATACTGTAGTACATAAATATTCTGTATATACTCAGTATATAAATATTCATATACCTGTATTTTTAAATTGTAATTTAGCATGCTCATCATTGTGACATCGTGAATTTAAGACAATAATGTTATTATCAGACAGTCTTCCAGATAGACAAGTGTGCGTAGATTTAGCAACTAGTACTAGTTGATTTATTGGTCCGTTGAATGGTTCAATACGGCACTCATACATTTATCAGATAAAGTAATGAAATACAAAAAAATATACGAAAACATTATCAAAATATGCTAAAACACATGTGTATCGCATGAAGTGTAATATGAAATTCTGAGTGTAGCTTTTAGCAAATTTGTTATTGCGTCAATATAACAAAAAATTTACATTCTTGTACAATTTAAATTGTATAATCATGATTAAATTCGATACATATATTTAATACGGTATATTCGCTTTGTAAATATAAAATTGAAATTAAAATATAATATTAGAAAATTGGAAAGTTATAAAAAAACTATAAAAATTGCAAAATTCTTATTGTGGATTACGCCATGTCGTGATAATCAGGAAAGTCTATCTGGGTCTGTTCACAACAACTTTTACTTTTTACAAAGTGAGAAGTTAACGAAACATACACTGAGAAAAAAATTATCGACAAAATCATCCGTCTCCAAGGAAATATTGTATCTATTGTACAAATTGATGCAACAATAAGTTACGTTGATATAATTATTGGATCAAACCGTCAATCATTGAATCAATTGATATATCGCACAACAATTATATAATTCAAACGATTAAATTCGTTTAAGCAAAGTCTCATTAACCCAACCACTTTTTTTCTCAGTGCAGAATCACGCATCAAAAATAATGAAACACAAACTAAAATATCTCGCAGTCGTTTTATACTCCGCAATCAAGGCTCGACATTTTTCAGTTATGCCATTTTTTCAGAGGCACAGGAAGAATCCGGGAGTTATAGAGGGTTAAATATTCTCGAGATTCGTAGCCCGCGCTCCCAGAACCATCGGAATAATTTCGAATGAGGATCCGGTAAGTGCGCGCGGCCGTACGGCACCTTTCGGTGAGAGCGTGCTTAATGAATTCGTTTAATATTCCGCGGACAAAAAGGGAATCGATTCGTCGAGCACGGCCGCGAACGAGACGAGAACGACGTCGTTCTGGAGGGAGATGCGCGCGCGCGGCTCCGCGAAACGAAACGAAACTAACTTACTGCGGACGCTCGCAGCCGCGTCGACAGTTCCGCGCGGATTCGCCGCGGACTGTTTGTTCCGCGTCAGCCGAGTCGATGTAACAAACGGCAAAACAAAAAGAGAAAAGGAAAAACGAGGGAGTGCGTTTCGATCCGCGCGCGCATTCGAGCCGGCTTATTCGCTTTGACTGCCCCTCATACGCATACGAAGTGCGAGAGTGCGGCGCTATGCTGCAGAGAGGAAAACTGCTTCCCCGCGGAAAACATCCCACGCAACAAGCGCCGTTCGTTTCGTTTCGCCTCGTCGCGCCGCGCACGAACGCTCGCGGAGCGTCCAATCTTTCTCCCTCCTCTCTTTTATCCATTTCTCCGTACTTTTCTCCTATTTTCCTTTCTTTTTTCTTTCGCCAAAACGACGGACGGAAAGACAAAGTGTTGCGGTACTCACGTCGTATCGTTCCTGGATGTGCGGGCCGGCTTGCGCGATGTAGAGCGTGCTGGCGGTGTCGAATACTAATTTCTGGGGGATCCTGGTGACCCGCTGCCGTGCCATCTCGTGGCAATTGAGGTAGAAGGTGACGTCGGTCGCGGAAACCTTGATGACAATCTTCGACCATTTCTTCGTCAGCTTCGGTACTGTGAATTTCGCCACCTCCTCCGAATGCGAATGCTCGTCCGAGTTCGTGTAGACCAGCGAGACGTTCTGGTTGGAGCCGGGCCCGTCCTTGGAACATGCGGTCACGGGGTTGATTTCAATATCCGCGGATCTGTCGGTCGGTCTGTCTATCTATCTCGCCGCTACGTGAATTATCTCGATAATGGTAATCTCGCGTGAGTTTGACGGTAAAGTGAATCGTTCCGTCGAACGCGCTTCTTCGTAGAGCGACGCGTCTTCTACATCGATAAATCGCACCACGGTCGACCGAGTCACGCGAGATAAATCTTGGGATGGGAGGAACGGAGGGGAAGGTGGGAGGCAACGGAACGAATTCACGGGAAATTGTGTGATTCAAGCAAATAAAGCGCGGCAATATTCTCACTGCAATTTCATGTGTTGAACAATGGCAATATTATTTGGGAGTAGCTGCGAGTATATTGAGGTTTCTTCAGGAATGTCCGAAGCATTCGGGGTTGCTTATTGTTCGGAACACGTACATGACATGTTACGGGAATGGCTCTTCGAAAGGAGCGCAAGGAGCTTGAAGAAATTTGAAGATCGAACGTGTAACGGCGGTATCCGAGGGATCGGGAAACGGAAGACAGCATTCGCTAAAGATCGCTTAAAGCGCAGCATCGTAATAAGGAGCAGAAGGAGGGGCAGCACTGTCCGGGACATAATAATAAAAGGAGGAGGTATTGCGGAGAACGTGCGGAATCGTTATCTTAGATCACGCAGAGATATTATCTCTTGCCATTTTGCAAGATATTTATTCGTTTACCTCGTAAGAAAATGCCACACGAAGCCACAAAGTGTGCTTAACCTTAATCTCTAGAGTGCAATCAGTGTATTCTTCACTGAGATGCTGCTATATTCATAAAACTGGTAGTTTAATTACAAAAATATAATCAGTAAAATTTCACTGAGAAAATCAGCTAATAATATACATGAAAAGAATTTTATAGTAAAATTGTTATAGAATTTAGTAAACAAAAGAATATATCGACAATCAGTAATTAATGACTCTTTCATTTTATATGTATGCTATTAAAAGTTTGCTATATTTGATAAATACTAATAACATATTTACTTAAATCTAAATTCTTTTAATTGAGTAGAATAAACAATTGTTTCCTTAAAAAACTGTACTTGTAAGAAAACTTATATTTTTTCATTAAAAAATTTAGTTTTCACTTTAAAAATATGTATATTAATATAAGTAAACATGTTATTAGTTACCAAATAAATATATTAATAAATATCTCTAATTTCTTAGATACTTTTCTCTCAGTGTGGTAATCCAATGTGGAATCATTTTGATTCCCTTAATTGTTTCCTCACTTTCTTGTTTTCTCAAATTTTCTTCTACAGAAGGAAAATAGAAGTAATACCGATCGCAAACATTTTCTTTTTATTAAATCGCAAGTGATCGTTCAAAGTGTAGGTCAAAATGACTGGCATTGGCAATCTGAGGTTAAAGAGCTAATAACCACCGAGCTGTTAAAGCAGATTCCTTCGTGATTTAATACAGCATCGTATTTCTCCGCCTTATCTCCTCATTTCCGCGCGACATTTGCTCCTCGATCTCACACGCTATTATTTTCCCTAACGTCACAGCGCCCGACGCGACGTCGCTCGTATAATCCTTAATAAAGCCGTTAACGTTCCAGAAAGTGAGAAAAATCGCGGGCGGTCGCGAATAATCATTCCTGTGGCAGGAAAAACATCGGCAGGAGGGACTTTTCGCGGAGCTTGACGATGCTCGTATGTGCGGCTTACCGAAATTCTAATGCCCAACTGGACGACGGTTTCGAAGGGATTGAGGACAGCGAAGAGGTAGCTCGTTCTGAAGGAGGTCGGCTTGAACGTGGCCACCAGAGTGAACTCGGCTGGCAACTTTTCTGGCAGATACAGCCTGTAGGGTTGCTTCACCTCGGAGCCGGGTCGAAAGCCAAACGCGGGGAATCCGTCCAAGCCGTCGTCTATGTAGAGATTGTTGTCGTCGGTCATCGACGACACCGACGCTTCCATTAAATCATACACCATCTCTGGAAATGCAAAATGTCGATAGCCTCCATTAAATCGGGTTTAACTGGCGATGGTAAAGGACCCGCGAGTGCTCTCATTGGTCAAACGACTAATTAATCTAACGATATTAAATTATCGTAATGACGTTAAATTGATATAGTGCGTAGATTGATGGGCGTAATCGAGGTTATTAGCTGGTGGCGAGTTTGGGGCGAGTGGAAATAAATTATTGCTCGCGAAATAAAGCTGTTTTACTATCAATGGCGGCGGTGGTCTTTGATTTGCAAAGCAGCTGTTATTGATTTAAAAAAATAACGAAAATATACGCACGCTCTAGGAAAAGAGAGAGGGAGAGTTCACTTAAAGCCGATGGGGCGACATATCGGTGGTGGAAAAACTAAGCGATGTGCGAGATTAGTTCTGTGTTCCTTGAATCAGCGGAACATTCGGCACATGTTTGCCGGCGCCGGTTACGGGGTTCCAATGAGAATGCTGTTAATTAAGGAAACCATCGCGAACGGGACACTTTGCGAAAAAGAGTTGAGCGCGCGTCCCGAGGAAACTACGTGCCCGGCAGTTCCGAGCGAATGCAGAAAGTTTAATTAATTTTTCGCGCGCTGGGCTCTTAAGAGTCGCGAGAGAGATTAGTAAGTGATATTCCAATAAGATTACTTCTCGCGGGGAAATTATCTAACAGCAGTTGTGCACGCGTGTCTTAGTCGGTGAGACCGACTTGGAGATGTATACTGGAAGAAGATTGTTTGGTGCTTGTAATTATAATTGCATAGTACCATATAATTATCGCCAGGAGAGCCACTTTTCTACACGGAAAGGTAATGTTATAGCTAATGTTCGTTCTGTGTGAGAAATTATTAATTAATTAAATAGTTAATTTTAATAAAATTAACTATTTTCACTCTCTCTGTCTCTCTCTTTCTTTCATTACTACTATAAGTTTCAGGGAGTTTCCTAGCCTAGAGCTTATAATAAACTCTACTCTACTCTACTCCCTTTTTCTCTCTCCCTTTCTCTCTTATTCTCTTTCAGTGCAGAATCGCGCCGCGTCGAAAAATCTCGCTATTGAATATCAAGGAATGTCAAGGAGTGAAATCTCAGACAGAAAGGCGGAAGTCTTCATTGTAACGCGTAAAGTCGTCGAACAAAAGAAGAATTCGAGTGATATGACCCGCAAATTTGCATACCGTACATTCATTGATCTCGTGAAAATTTATAATTATTATTCCGCCACGCGCGCTTTTCATATAACCAAATGTATACAATAGAACGAGCGTGCTTTTATCTATTTGTCACAGTTTTTCTTTGAACATCGATACAATCGTCAAATAAAGAAGAATGAAAGAAATACAGCGGAACTCCAACATTACAAAGCGTTACGGCGGTAAGCTGCAAGCTCGTACGCGGTATGATTAAGATCATAATTCTTTAATGCACCGCAACACCATTTTGCTCACCATGTGTCATGTGGATCTGTGACACTCGATGCATCGTGTGATACTCTACGGCTGAAAGCTCGATAACCGATATTTATTGTCGGCTACATGAGTCGCCGCAGTAAATCGCATTAAAAATCCTTCCAAAGCGACTAGACACCGACACGCCCGACTGATCATTATTGAAGGACGCTCTTTGTTGGACCAAATCGAGCATTGATGCTGTTAGTATCGAACAAGCGAACGATTCATTAGCGTGAAAATGAGATACGCGACACAATCCCGCTGCTTTCGTCCGCGACACGCGCGTGAAATCGGCCAGAAAGCTCGCGTCTTTAATTACGAAATTTTCCTTCTCTTCTCACTGTGGCGTTCACGAATTCGTGAAAATTAATTCATAAGGATCGGCTATAATGCAGTTACGTTTCAAAGTCATGTCACTAGTCTGTGAATCGAGCGTATATCTGTTTTCTTCGCGTAGACTCGTGAAAAACGAAGAGTTTCGTCGAATCCGTCAATGAAACTTCGTATTTTATATGAGCCTGCGAACTTACAAATACACGATCGATTCACAGCCACGACTTCAAAACGTAACTGCGACCATCGCATTGTAGACGATTTCTTATGTACAATGCATCATGCTATATGCTTTAATCAAAAGCACACGCAAATTTTTTGTAGCTACTTTGCAAAAGGTTAACATTGAGGATTCTCGAAATGAAACGCTTATAAAAAAAAAGAAGAGAAAGGGAGAAAAAGCCGGTTACTATCTCTACCATTACTAGTACTTTCGATGGGAAATTTATTGGAGCTTTTTTGTGTTCGATTGTACGGTGATGTTTGGAAATCGTTTTATTTTATGAAGAATCTATTGAAAAAACATACGGATGAAAGCGTATTGTGAAAAATAGTCCACGCCTCTATATTGAGGTGAAAAAAAAAATATATATATACACACACACACATACATATGTACTATAATATTCTGCATGCGGTGCCCGCTTCGCATTTTCTCCTCACACATATTCCCCTATCATAAGCACCTGCTCTAAGCTAAATTCGTGAGCAACCTAAAAATGTCGGACGAAAACACAGCAGTAGCGGCGTGTCGGCGAACGGTGTAAGTTAAATTATCGCCACGCTCGAGGTAATTTTCAAATTGCATTTGGCCGCGCCATATTCTCGCTTAACATATTCCCCGGCCGCGGAAGCAACTCGGTTTTGAGTGCTCAACGAATTCTGGCTTTCGTATCTGACTTGCCATCTACAGGCCGCACTCCTTCTTTTTTTTTCTTTCTCCATGAGCCGCGATAGAACAACTTTTCGATAATACGATTTCTTTTTTATTTCGATTTTTGACGAAGATTATGTTATTATTTGCCCGAAACAACGGTGGATGCAATTAAGCAAACATGCGTCTGATAAATAATGTCGTCAAAGCTGAATTCATTTACCGAATGTCACTGTTTGTTATCGTCGTAAAACGACGGAGGATATCTCCAATTTATATTATCGTCGTCCGCAATTTGTTCGCAGCCCGTTAATTATAAAGGACGATGGATAAAATGAATCGATTTTTGTTTAAAAAGTGTAAAGTGAATTATGCGCATAATCTTACGTCTTTAAGTTGCTAAATGCGATGGCAATAATTTTATCCGCGAGAAAGTGAAGAAAATTTGCCTTAAAAGGGTCGAAATAAGTCACTTTTAATAGTAATTCGGTTAGTGATGATTTTGTTCCAGTTATATATCTAGACGCCATGCTTGAAAACTTTATCGACGAAATATTGATTTTTTCTGCAAAATTTACGTTGTATTGATTGTACAGAATTACAAATGCTTTTACATGCTGAAAGTATGTATAATGAATCGGAGTATTACTCGATATGTGACAAAAACGACAAAACATTTTAAAATTAACATCTCGAGCCAATTTCACACAACTCACACAAAATGATAATTTAAACTCGCCGCAGCAATAATCGATGTAACGAGTTTAATTGCGCGTCGATTAAATGCACCTAAAAAACATATTCTCATTCTTGAAAGAATCCTCTTATATATGGCTCCAAGAGGATTCTTTTAAACCAAAAAAGAAATATGTTTATACCCAAGAAAAAAACTTTAGTCACAAGGTGCGCGATTTCCTGTAATTCCATTAATGTTCTAAGCAAAATCTCTCTCCGAAAAAGTATTCCTTTTCCAACAAAAAGGACGATATTAATCTCTTGGACGGTGATTTCAAACTATATTTACTTAATAAAAAATTTCTGCAGCTTGTATGTATCGTCATACGTGCATTTGCTCCGCTAACGAAAACTTCAAGGAACATTTCTGTATTTTTACAACAGAATTTAAAAGCTCAAAAATGTACAGAAGGTTTGGGAAAAGGTTTCTGCGTAGTGATGTTTCCTGCTAACGTGGTAAAACAAAGCAGCACGCATTTATATAAGATCTGTACAAGAAATACAAAAAGGATAGTATGGTCGTATTAGCGAGATCGTCTCTATGTTATCGACATTTTTCGAGTTCGTTGCTCACTCCAATATGCTCTAAACTGCTTGTATTGCAGTTTAGTTTTATGACTTTTTTTTCACTGAAAATTAAGGAAACACTTCAAAATGAAATATTTCAGAAATACTATCGTCGTATTCAACGCGACCCAGAAGACATAAGATTACGTATATGTAACTTAAGTTACATTTTCTAAACCAAAATCGGTTCATTTTACCTCCTTTCTTCTTTGCGCGATTATTGCGCATGAAATGTGAGGACACTTGGTCGTTCTTCTCTCGTCCCTTTTCTGTTCTTTTTCTCTCATTAACGAGACGCGGGCAAAACTTTCCTTATCGCGAGATGAATTTTTCGCGTGCGTCTTCCACCGCTTTTTGGAACTCAAGATTCGCGGAACAATTGCTCGTAAGGCCGCGGGCCCCTCGGCGCCGGGAAGATTTCAATGCGTGATGGATCGGGGCGTCCGCGTATTGATATGCGCGGTGATTTAAACGCCGGCACAAGAACTAACGCGGCGACCTCTTGCGCGCTCGTACACTCCTGAGACGGATCTCCGCTCGACGCCGAAATTGCGGATAGGCCCGTGCGATTTCGAGGCCTATGCCGAGGGGAGGGTGGCGCGGCATGCAAATTGGCAGGAGACGAGCCGGTAATTAAAGATGCGCGAATTAACGACGATACCCGACTGAGTCGCTTACGCGCGCGCGGAGTTCACTTACACTTTGTGTCGCGACGGGATTTTATTTTCACTCGATTAATCTCAGCGCCTCATTAACTCTCCCTCGTATTAGGCGCGAAACTCTCGTTCGCATACCGCGGACGTGGCGAACCGTGAAATCCCCGTTATATCGCGAGCGCAGGTTTCATCAGCGATAATAATCAATTTCGAGGGCCGCGACGGCGACGTCGTGTTGCTCGGATCTCTGAGATCTAGCGGTGATATCTATTTTTTCCGCGATAAACGTATATATCCAAGATAACTGTCATGTTTTTTCACGTATCGTGCGCGTATCGATACCCGGTATTTTCACACAAAATAATAATTTTAACTCGCCG